TTATGTATTATATATGACCTATAATTAAAATATTTATTTTCCTTTCATCTCAAAAACCTTTTCATTAGCTCTCAGGTGTGTTCTTCTTATCTCCTTTAATACCTTAGTGTAATAAAGATTCTTTTGTTACAAATAATAGAAATTTACTTTAGTTAGATTAAGTAAACAAAAAGCAGGAAATTTCATGGAAACATTCTAAGTGATGTCATGACAGTCAAGGATAATTTGAATATTTATAACTCAGGTAGGACAAAGGCCAGGCTGCAACAGGATCTCAATAGCAGGAAAGGATGAACTTTTTCTCGGATTTGGTGATACTATCTTGTCTCAGCTGCAGTCATTGTAGAACAAGAAGTATAACTGCTCTATAATGGGTCAGACTGCTAACTTGGATCAATCTGTTATATCCCTTATTCTGATTTAACAGGGATGAAATTGTGTCAGACAATTCTGAAGAAAAGGAAATCATGGTAAAAGGTCAGGATTATGTTCATTGGATTCATTTGGTATATTTATACAAGCACATGCAATTTTCCAGTTTAGCTCTTCCTACACCAAACATTCTTGCTAATTGCGTCCTACAGGCCTGGAACGTACTTTATCATCTATAAACTTATCTGCTATGATTCCAGAAGTGTAATCCCTTATCTCCACTAGAAAATACTCATCTTTTGATTTATTAGAGAGCTTAAATATTTTCTTGGCATCAGACAGTCAAAAAGTGCATCATGAATATAACAGAAACATATATACATGGTCAAGTGGCTGAATTAATTGAATGAGGGTCTTGAAAATACTTATATTGTTATCATTCTCTTTATATATGCATATAGCTGTTCCTGGATTCTCTGTGTAATCAGGTGGTTATCCATACTATACTTTTTTTTTTAAAGGAAATTATGTTTTAATTCTTTAACTTATTCAATTAAATGACTTAATGACTAAGTGTGATAATGAAGTATTTTGCAGTGATGCTTTGTATAGTAGAAAATGCTAAACACTTAGATGGTAAAGAAGATAGCAGTCTTCTCTATTTTTGTTTTCTTCTTGCTATCATGTTTTGCCACAAAGGGCTTTCTGCATATAAAGATGATCAATGTATAATCTAAAGGATAACATTTGACATGAAAACAACTGCATTGCATTTTTGCCTAATTGAGGGACTAGAATACAAAAATAAATTATTATTTGGGCTTTTGGATATCTTACAGATTCTTCAGGTAGGCAGACAATGCTTTTAGAAGGCAAAAAATACTCATGATTTTATCAGACAAGGTAATATGAGTAAGCATGTCTCAATTTATAAAATCCATATACAAATGAGATAGATGCTTAAATCATACTATTGAATTCTAGACACGAACAAGAAGGCTTCTGGTTTTAGGAGCATAAACTACTTGCTGGAGGACTGGATTTCAGTCTTCAGTAAGTTTCCAAAAACAAGACAATGCTTCTGTTCTCAATTCTTGATATAACCTTGCCATCTATTCAATCATTCATTTATATATTCAATCACTCACCTCTTCACCAACCTACTTTACTGGGAAGAATTATCTTAATTTTGAGAATATCTGTTTTCTAAATGTCTTGGTAAAATGTATTTTATGAATATAAAGTAACTCTAATAATAGATTTTAAGAGCTAGTATAGAGGATAATTTGTAAACTCAAAATTGGGTTATCTCTGTAGACATTCATTTCAAATAATTTTACTGATATGTGAAATGCAAAATCTAAGACGCAATAGTTTAAATATAGTTCTGTTAGCAAAAAAATTGATGAAACTTT